GGGAAAGAGATAAAGCGGCTTAGCATGTTGATCATCTTTGGTCCCCATTCTTAACCTTTGACTAATTTTTTTATAGATATTGGGGTGACTACTCTATATATAAATTTTGGGATGCCCTTCATCATAAAAGATGATTTAAAAATAATTTAATTATAAAGAGTACATAAAAGTATGTGCATAGCAAAACTTATAACTGTGTGGAATGTCGAGCTAAAGACCAAATTTCTGAGTTGGTGGGTTACCGAATTGATTATTAGTTGTGCATGAGTTAGTTATGAGGTTAACTGTTAAATTTTCTTAGTCAAGCTACGAGCTACGAATACGAATGTGCAGGACAAATCGTCGAGTGACACAGCCACTTAGCCTTGTTCTGTTGAGCAAGCAATGAAATGTATCTAAAACTAACCCGAACCCATTTCTGGGTTACCCTGGAGGTTAACAAGTTATACCCAAATTAATAGGCTTTTTAATTTACATGGTCACTCAATTAAATTTTCATCATTTTGAAACTTTCCATGTGAAAAGAATTGCAACTCAATGGTTAATAGAGAAGATTGTTTCTTCAAAGTTGTGGGTTCGATAATTCGATTTTTCTCCCTATTCTTCAAAAAATTAAATTTTTTTTTTCTGAACAAAGAGAAAAGCAAAAGCACCTGGATCTATAAAATAAGTTTTTTTGGCCATTTATTTTTGAGATTTAATTAAAAAGACATTGGAACTTTTGTCGATGCTCCTGATCTTCTCTTTGATTAGATACCACGAGGACCTCAAGATCCTGTCTTATGATGAGTTTTGGTCACAATGATGATAGGAGCAGTTACTATACATAGTTGATCCTCTATGTTGTTACCCATTTAAACAAACAGAAAGGTTTGCATATTTTGCGCTAGTTACATTAGACTAAACTTATATCCAAAGTGAGGGTAGTGGCCAAAAAGAATCAACACTTGTTATAGTTACAAAATATAAACTAATATAAAAAAATTAATATAATATTTTATGGACTCCACATCATCTTTCTCCTTATCTCCACTTTCGTTACCCTATTTGCTTCTTCATCTCATTCTTTAGAACTTTGCGCTCTTAGTTATTTTATCTTATGAAAAAAGAACATGTTGGCCTCCATAATATCATAAATCTCATCCATAGTTGCATGTTAGAAGGGGTGGATTTATCTTCTTTCTTAAAGATAGGCAAACTTAATATTTAACTAAATTAATTTTTAAAATTAAAATAATAATTTCATTTGAAATTGAGACAAACACTTCTTTTCTAATATTTTGTTTCATTTTCTTAATTATTGAATAAAAAAATTCAGATATGCACCTTTATACATGCTCTCACTAGGTCGAAGGAGATTCAAAACCTTAATTATCATGGAATTTTTCTTTGCTTAGTTCACTTGTGACTTCCATCCATACCACAATATGTTAGGTTCATTTTCCCCCATTCTAAAGGATCATCATCATTTCAAAAATTTTCTTTATAAATGAAAAAAAATTAATTTGTGCGTATGTGCATTCATTTTAAAAATACTAATGACATTTTTTTATAAATAAATATTTTTAACGAATGCAAAAGAATACAAATTATATAGAGTGAATTATTTGATAGATTTAGAAACAAGGAAGGATTAATTTCACTAAGATAAGATATTATTCCTGCTGTGGTTTTTGAACATTGAAGTCCCCATCCACCTAAGAGGTTATAAGATGGGAATCAATATAAATGATTAAATCAATAACCTCTCAATTGATGGCAAGTCTTAATCTGACACCAAGTGGGGGAGTTCAAATTTTGGGTTTTGACCATGAGTGGCCTCTCGCGTTTGGTGTTTTCCAGTGTATAGGGTAGCCGACTAGCCTATAGGAGGTCACCATCCTGCTAAGGGAGTTCGGTGGTGGGAAAATGTGAAGCCAATTGAGTTGTGCCATGTGTCCATGAGTGGATTGAAGTGGAATGAGTTTTAGGCCATTTTTAGGTTTAACTTGGGTTAGGTCCATGGAAAGGGCTTGGTTCATCTCCCCATGGTGGCTGGTGTGATTTTTTGGTCTTTGGGTTCATATCATGAAGTCCCATCCATGGGGCTAGGGTTTGAACATGGGCTATGGATGAGGTGAAGCATTTTCTTGGAGGCTTGAAAGTAGGTTGTTCGTTTGCCATTTAGGGGAGAATGGCATGTGAGGGTCTAAGGAGGCTTGCATGTGGCTTGGCCATGCCTTAGAGGCTCACATATGGCTTGGTTATTTTCATGAGGAAGGAAAGTGGAAAATGGGGCACTTTGTGAGGTGGTGTCATGAGGCCAAATTTGGTTTATTAAATTATGAATTGTAGGACTTAGCATTTGATTTTAATCAAATGGTTGAGAGGGAAATTTCATGTCATGTGGGCTCATTTAATTTTAAAGAAGGTTAAAAGTTGGGCTTGGAATTTGGACTTTTGAAATCAATATGGTGGGTTTGGTTTTGGGCTTGGAGTTTGGGCTTTGATTTAATGTTGATGGTTTTGAAAATTAATCATGTTGGGCTTCATGAAATTTTGAATTTCTCATGATTCAATTTGATACTTTAATTGGATTTGGATTTTTCATTTGGTGGATATTGGATGAAAATTGGATAGTTTGGGTAAAATTAGCATTTTGATAGTTTGGTAAATTTGGGAGATTTTGGGTGAATTTGGGTAAATTGGATGACTGGGATTGGTTTTAGTGAAGTTTTGAGTGAAATTGGGGATTATGACAATTTTGGGTATTTTATGGAATTTTGGTAAATTTGAGTGATTTTGGATAATGTTGGATGGTTTGAGGTGGTGAGCATGCAAATCATGGAAAACATTCCTAAAGTCATATGAGCCTTATGAGAACTCATTTTGAAGCCCCCACATGTTGGTCCTAGTCATCCTAACTAAGGGTTAAGGACTTAGGACAACTCACATGAGTCTTCAAAAGCATTAAGGAGTGGTTGTGGGCCTCAAGGGGGAGATGGATAAATTTGGGTGAATTTGTGGTTTTGGGTGTGTTAAGGAGCTTGTGGTGGGTCCAAGTGTTTGTGTGTGCAAGACCAAGCCACCCAGGGTTGCCCTAACATCAATTGATCTTATGGGAACTCTTTCTTGAGTCTTCAAATGTTGGTCTTAGCCATCTCAAGTGACAAATGAGGGCTTGTAATCACCCATGTGGGACTTCACAAGAAGAGTCTAGAAGTGTTTAGAATTTCTATGTGGGTGTGTTCCATCACTAATTCTCTAAGATACTTAACATGAAAGCCCTGTGGCTAGATCCTAGGCTTCTAAATAAGGGAATTAGACCTCATAAAAAATGAGGTCAACACTTTTGTTTACTGTTTAGACTTATAATTTTAGTATTAGTAGTTTGTATATAGTACTTTAATTTTTTCCCTTACTTTCATTAGATGTTATTACTTATATTTTTAGTTGTTGTAGTACGTAGATTACACTTACAATTTCTTCTTTTATTTATTATTTATTCTTCTATTCTTAGTTCTAGAATATGTAGATTCCACTTAACATTTTGATCGTACATTTCTTTTAAAGTTACCACACTAATTACTTTTTTCTTTACTACAAATGACTTCTAGAAGTGAGGATGATTGTTTTCCATGCGAGGGGCACCATCGGTGTCATCTTTTGTAGAAGACCCTCGTCACACAATAAGGTGATATTGTTGTAGTCACAAGCTCTTATTTGTCGCTTCCACACCTGCCATTACAGTTGATCCTCCCACACCTGCCATTAATGTTGATCCTCCCACACAAGCCTCCATCCCGACATCGTCACCCTCCCCACACACCCTAACTTATACCTCCTCTCCTTCCACCAGACTAGCACACCATCACCTACTACTGCAACGTCCATCTACTTGGGGGGAGGATCATGCTGATACTCTTGATTGGAGAGCATCAAACAGTATGAGCCGCTCTTTGGAGCTCGAGAATGTTGAGCAAGAGTAAGCTTATTAAAAAAATTGTTAATATTAATTATATTATTTAAATTAATAGAAAACTAATTATATCTTTCTTTTATATTTAATTCCTTTATGCAAGTTCATGTTATCAGGGATATCGTATAAAGCAAGTACGACGCTCCATACCAATTATGGAAGGAGATCCTTATAGTTGTTTAGAGAGTTTGGGTATACCGAAAGCATTGATCTAAATTTATATATTTTTTCTATCAATTACAGGTGATTTAGAGAGCTTCAAGCACATAGGGAGCGAATGTCTTTGTGACACATTCAGGGAGATATGGAAGATGAGTCGGCGCCTTTTGTGACTTGACGAGAATAATTTTGACACATTGCTCAAAGCCTAGGATATTCTTGACTGTCGAAAGAGGAGTCAAAAGTACAAAGTAATTGGTGATAATATTATGGGGGCATGGCCACCTCCAAGTATACTGGTATGGTGCTCCTACATACTAAGTATAAAATGAGACTGATAAAAGTTATTTTGTGAATTAAATTTCATTGTAAAATAAATATTTACTAATTATTTTCTTACCTTAACAAATTATGAAGTTGGGACTAGAGCACACCACTACCGAGCTACATGCATGTACCCATAAATAGTGGTCAGACCATGTGTGGGTTGACCGCAAATCTCATGCAATATATGTAAGCCACAAGAAAAATTGCTATACAATTCAAATAATTCCTGAATTTAATTTGTAGCTGAAATTTGT